GAAAGGAACAAGAAGCGTTTATTGTACAACGCAGGATACACACACGATACACTCGGAGCACATGATCGAAAATATTAGTTGACAGAACGAGAACACATCCGAACGCAGCGACGGCTCACGTCCAAATTCGCTGATCTTGTTTATCAACCACATGTGTCGCTGCGCATCGCGACCTTCCGCACTTTGCGAGTGGCGATCTATGGTGTCGACACGGCATGGGCATAACAATACATTTATGATCGCTGACATAACATCCGGTCGTATCAGATTTTAACAGTCATGAATATAAAAATAACTGAGAACGAAATGTGGACCCCTAAAATCGAACCCCAGGCATTCCTGCTACGAATTGTACCACAGTCATGTCACCATCGCTGAGTTATAACATAAGAATAGCATTTAGTTCTTTAATCACAATACAATTCGTTACCTTGTCCTAAGTGTCTGCTTTGTATATTGCTCTGTAGCCACTCAGTCCCTTGATAGCGTTATTCAGTCATGGCTCTTGAATGAGTGCTATTGTTATCTGCATCACAGTCATGCTCCTGGCTAGAATCGCCGAGGCGCCTCTGCTGTGATGCAAGTTAATTTGTACAATTGGTATTGTGAAACCCGCAAAATCTAAGCGGCCTCCTAAGTCCTAGTAGTCGTTCCCGCTTTGTGTTCTGTATAGAGCAGCTTAGTTGCTCGACCCAGCCCACAAAAGGGTTTGAAACCGCAGATCTGAAGAGTCTCCAGTGAAACATCACCAATTAAGGCAGCGAAGTGGGCGTTCTTGGCGTCCCTACTCTCATTCCCATTCACGACAACCCATTCCCTGGCGCCCAGACCCGCATTTTGTCTATCAAGAAGCTTCATAGCCTCTTCGGCAGCCAAATCTGGCTCCTCCACATGCACCACCACCCGGTATCGCTTGGGAAGCTCCCCGGTCGACAACACATGCAGAGTGTACCCTCCAATATTGAACTCGGTAGACTGGTAAAAGCCAATTCATCGATTGTCGATTAGCACAGTTGATGATGACTGCGCCATCCCTCTTCCAAGTTCCAGTGAAGGTGGGTGCTACCCATCCTTGAGAAGTTCGAGGATGCGCCGCGTAATCAGTTTCCTGATCTCATTCATCTCACTGGAGCCCAGTTTGTTTTCAGTCCTTCGCTACGAGAGCTATCCTGATGATCCTCTTTGTCGCCTGGACATACGATCCTCGGTCGACGACTTTGGGTTTCTTGTCCAGGCGACTATCCATCGGGCTGGGGATGCAGTGTTCCGGCCTCACGCGTTTAACCGTGCCGGCCACACCATCGCCTTGAGGGAGTTAGAGCTTTGGCTGCTGCAATTTGCTTCTTCTCCCTCTTATACCAGCATTTGGCGGTACCGCTAAAGCAAAGTCGGGTTTTGGTTAAACCCGTCTTCGCTGTGTTGCTCTCCTCCAGTCGTTCGCTTCCGAGAGAAGCCACTCCCTGGAGGACTTGGTTTATATCGGTTTTGTTGGTTTTATTTGTTGTATCTATACAAGGTCTAACGAGTATTGCGGTCGCGCGATCTCACCCAGGCAGAGTCGCGAATGCCCGAGGCTTGGCTATTTACTCCTGGAGGACGCTCGGTATCCAGAAGGCACCATTCTGAACGCAACTTCCCTTGTGCCATGCACGGTAGCTCACACCCTAGCTTGGGAGGTTCCTCTTATTTGGATGGGACCCATCCGGGAATTTCGCAACAGTAGTACTTCCGGATGGGCCTCCGCACTGTTATTGTGCATAACCTACCATATATATACATGAGGGTGTGAAGACGCCGGCGACACACCCTCCCTGCCCCGTTTACCCATCTCGGTGGGACCTCGGGCCCCCGCCCTTGGTCCCATGGATCTTTCCGTTAGAGGGCCGGACGCATCTGGCTCGGCCTCTAAGCCCTATCTTAATGACGTTTATTGTTTGAGACCAGCCGCCCTGCTAGTCGGTGCGGGTGTTTGTCTCCTCCTATTAACACGTTTGTTCTAGGGCCACGGGGAGAGGCATCTAAGTTAAAGATGGAGAAGATACCTCTCCCCGTGGTATCGGGACTTTGTCATTATCATCCCTCACCGCTCCGCTATTCGGTGCGGCGATCCCTCCTGTCTCTTTGTGCTCTCTCGCGCGCTCCCCCGCACAGTCCCCCCTCCCATCTTGGCCCTTCGGGCTCACCTGTCCTGGCTACTACAAGTACTTTTGTTGTTCTAAAATCCTATCTGTTTTGCACAGCCGGGGGTATAATTACTCCTTCTCGTGCTCTTTCTGCCGCTTCCTTCTTCGTCATTACTGACTTGCAGAAGATTAGGAATGCTCTTCTGCCATCCTCCCTCCTTAGAGCTCTGATGATAGAGCTCCATGTAAGATCCGGTCCCGTAACCTCCACTAGGGATGCCCTTTCCTGTGCCCATGCTGGACAATATCTAAGCGTGTGCCTTGATGAATCGTTTATTGCCTCGCCATGCCAGCATCTGGGTGTCCTCTCCCTCCCTATGCACAGGTATCTTCCAAAGCAACCGTGCCCCATCAGGACCTGCGTCGCCCGGAAGAAGAGGCACACCCTTGCGTCTAACCATCCCTGCAATTATTCCTCGATGGCCCCTGCAATTGCATCTTCCCCTTGTTCGGTGTTCCTTATCCACAATCTCCAATTCCTAATCATCTTTTTCTTCGATTCTTCCTTAATGGAGTCTATGATATATTTCGGTATCGGAGTGTTGGTTGGAGTGATTTTTCTTATCTCCGAGATCCTTTCATAAACCTCTTCCTGCCGTTTCGCCTCTAGTTCAAACGGAGGCATCCCTGCCAGGGCCGTATTGACCACAAGAGAAGTCGTTTTGTATGCCCTGATCAGTCTTCCGGTCATCCTCCTCTGTGTTTTCCGTAAAGTTTGTACGGTTTTCCTGTTCCTGTTCGTCTCGTACCCTCAGACTGGGGCCTCATAGAGAGCTATTGAAGTTACCACCTGGGCGTAGAGCCTTCTCACCTTATTATTAGGTCCTCCCAAGTTGGGGAGTAGCCTGCTTAGGTTTAGTGCAGACCTCTCCAATCTAGGCACCAATTCGATAAAGTGGGCTTCGAATGTCCACCTGCTGTCAAGCATCAGCCCAAGGTATTTCATGCTCGAGCCTACTCTGATATCCATTCCCGCCACCCTTAATACGGTGTTAGCTGGTTTACCTTTGTCATGGAAGCCAACCACTTCCGTTTTGGTTGGAGCAACTTCTAACCCCAGATTCGAGATCCTATGGATGACGGCGTTCGTAGCGAGCGTGACTTCTTCCCAATCCTTGCCTGATGCCAGTATCATGGTATGGGGTGATTCCGATTGACCACGGCTCGATTGGACACCACCAATCACAGCGACCAGTGCTTAGGGTCCAGTGCTTAGGGACCAGTGCTTTGTAGTCTCAAGCGCTGTGAGTGGCTCGTGTCCAATTGAGCCGTGTCCAACTTGGTGCCACTCCTAACCTAGAGATCTTAAGTTTAAATCCCGTCGATACCCCATACGTTTTTTCAAATATCCAATGCGTAATTGTAATTAAATTGTATGCGTAACAAATATATAAATAAATTGTACATATTGATATAATAATTAAGAAATAAAAATTGTATCTTAAAAAAAAATTATTGTAATAATAACTATAAAAATATAGTTATGGCAACAATATTATTGACAAAATCGCAGAACTGTTCACAAATATTAATTATATTATTTAGTTATATTTTGCCAATATCTACATTTTAATTAACTATGATATTTTTGTTCCCATAACTAATTATGAATAGTTGAGGTGCTATTTCACTATACTTTTGTAGTTACGGCAACGATTTTCAGTGTAGTACTAATAACTATATTATTTGGTTGTATTTACCAATATTTGTGCATTTCCATTAACTATGGCATTTTTCTTCCCACAACTAATTATGAATAGTTGAGGTGCTATTTCACTATACTTTTGTAGTTGCGGCAACGATTCTCAGTGTAGTACTAATGACGATAAAAATATAGTTTGCCACTTAACTATTCACCCATAGTCGTGTCAAAAATATTGTCCACTTATTCCAATTATATTTCTGTATTTCAATTAACTATGAGACTTTTTTTCCGACAACTATTTTTTATTCTTCAAGTACTATTTCACTATACTTTTATAGTTACTGGTACCATTTTTTTTCTCTCAGTGTACTAATTCGAGAGGAATATTTTGAAAAATTCGGCATTTGGCTGTGAAATGTTTCGAAAATTTTTTATATGCTTTATATTTCGAGAAACATGTTGAAGTTTACCCTATCAAAATTTCAAAGAAAAATATTCATATTTGGCTGAGATATAGCGAGTTGAACACAAAAACTTATTGAAATTTTTTCGTTAAAAAAATTACTTTTTTTTATAACTTAAAAACAAAAAAAATTCCAAATATTTGGTTTAATGACAAAAAAGATGCGTTATGAAATTCTCTACAAGAATCAGTTGTCAAAATTGAAATTAGAGCGACATCCAAAATTAGTCCATGCGGACAATACTTATCCTGCGAAATCCACGCGTATCCCCTTATAGAATCCAGCCCCTCAATTGTCTTAAAAAATAATTGCTTATATTTCATTATTATCACTAATTTTATCACCTTCCATATTTTCAGAATGTATTGGAGACGTATAAGCGCTTGCCAAATGTTATCCTGCTAGAAAAAATTGCATGTACATTATTTTTCCATACAGGTTTTCTAATTGCATTGATGCTAAAACTCTAGTATATGATCGTATAATAGAACTATTTCCAGAAGATTGATAATAATTAGTCGTAGACAATCCATGATAAATTAATCTGTGTCTAACATTTGAAATGACTCCTTTTGCTAACAAATCAATTATCTACGGTATCATTTATCTACATCACTTTTGCCGTCAGTTCGTTTGCACACAAAAATTACAGCTACTTACAGTTCGATTGCCCACAATGCAAGCACTTTTGCGCACAAATAAACTTTTCGGAGACGAAATATCACATTTGCCTACTTGTATTATTGCCTACAGCTCGATCGTCTATAAGCACTTTTGCGCACAAATAAAAATTTTAAAAACGGAGTTACTTTTGCCTACATGTATTATTACCCACAGCTCTATTGCCTACACGCATTTTATTTGCCATTAAATACTATTTTATATTTTCCCGTTTCTACGTGAAGCGATTCTCACCCCATCTCCCCCCCCCCCCCCGACAACTTCTATAATTGTACTGTTGCACATGTTTTGGTATTCGAGAGTACCATTATGAAGATTCATTCTTATGAATAGAGCTGCTCCGTTGTTGTCAATATTTATCACTACAAATTATTTTCTTACTTAACTTTAATTTTACAATTGTGCGCAAAAGTGCTTGTAGGTAATCAAGCTGTAGACAATAATACATGTAGACAATCGAATTGTAGGCAATAATAGATGTAGGCAATCGAGCTGTAGGCAATAATACATGTAAGTAAATGTAACTCCGTTTCTAAAATTTTTATTTGTGCAGTGTAAAAGTGCATGTATGCAATCGAGTTGTAGGCAATAATTTTTGTGCGCAAACGAACAGCAAAAGTGATGTAGGTAAACGATACTGTAAGCAATCGATTTGTAGGCAAACGGGATCCCTCCTAATATTTTCTTGTTAAAAATGTTTATTTATTGTACTTTCGGCTTATATAAAAAATACTTATCTTGGTTGAAAAATTAAATTATGGACCAAAATGTATTACAATTATTCTTTTATGGCAAATATATAATTAATAAAAGGATTATTGTTTATCGTGAGAGAATGTTATTCCTGACAAAAAGGTTTTTCTTCTAAGATTGATAATATATTACCAAAATTGTGTTTCATTAAAATGTAATATTAAATAAGACCGTAGTAAATTTCTTAATTCTTTGTTTTTGGTACACAATACATTGACTAAATTGTAAGTATTGTTAATAAATTTTTGTACTTAAATTGCGATTTTAAATGTAATATTATAAGTATTTATAAATATCTTTTAATATTTATCAATTTATGTACCATAAATATCGGTAATCTGTTTTACGTTGTATATTCATTACAATAAACAAACACTTTTGTTTCAATTCTTATCTGTGATTAATTATTAGTAATTAAAAATTCCAAGATAATAATTGAATTTGTTTTATCATTAATAAAAATATTATTTATACGTCAATAATTAAAACTGATAACTTTTTTTATTATTTACAGCACTTACGTGTGTAATGACTTTAGTAAAACTTAACAGAATTTAGAGGATATGACCTGCAGCAGCGATCAAGCTACTTACTTTGTTTTTTTCAATTTTAATATTCGCTTATACATATCTATCTATACATACACAATTTGATTTATAATATATAAACAATAAATATTGCCTTTGTTTAAAGTTTATTTTTATTTTTATGGAATAATGTCATGGCAACGGATATGACACTTATAGTGACACTTATATTAACATAATAAAACAATTATTACTTCAACATTTCTAGATCGAATGACGTTATATATAATATGTACATTGTAACATACGACTACAATTTAAAAGTTATATTTTTGTCGATTGAAGCTAAAATCTCTTTATGCTAAACCAAACTGGCAGTACCGATGTTAATGACAACATTGTCAGCATTTCGCTCGTAAACCGTGAGATCATGTCTCCTTGGCTGTTCCAATAAGGCAGCGAGCTGTTCTCCACTTGTAAATGATCCAGTCGAAGGTGATAAGATCACATCACAGTCTAGCTGACCTGTACAGAAAGAAAATAATATTTTATATAATATTCTATTTTTAACGTATGTTCTTAATGACAAATCTATATAATTTTAAGAATTTTAATAAAACAAAATATATTAATCTAAGAAATCTCGAAGTTCAGGTTTAATCAACCTGTTAAATAAATGTTTAATAGATAAATCATTTATTACTTATCTACTCTAATGTTGTATCTTTTTATATTTACCTGACAACGAAGGCGATGCGCCTTTACTAGAGCCATACATACGGGTACTGTATCCAGAATCATTATGAGTATCGTGTAGAGGCGGTGTTGGACTGTATACGGGATTACGTGATCTGTACGGCATTCTCGCAATACTGTCATAAGGCACATCTTTGGAGATACCCTTTCTACAATTCATCTCTTTATATGTTTTAGTTTGTTCAACATCGTCATCTTCCCCTTCGCTGCTCTCGCTTTCGTTCTCTGCGACATTAATTGTCAATTAGGATTTACGCATTACATTATACGTAAATTTAAAAGATTTTTAAAACAAAGATAATTTACAACGAATGCCATAAATTAATTTTTATGCCAAAAGTGCTAAAACTTTAAATAATAGTTAATAAAGTGATTAATATTTTTAACCAAAAATGTATATGAGATGTTATGATGGTTTCCGAGCTAGTATTTCAATAATCTCAATCAATATTATTAAATATTATTAACAAATTCGATTTGCTCATTATATGTATATAAAATCGCTTCTTCAATCAATTTTATTCTTCAAAGAAAAATTCTTGTTTTGAGTAAGTAATAATGAGTTTGTAGTAAGTATAATTTAATATTACTATAATATATCAAGAAAATATTCTTTGTTAAAAATATAATCGTTACTTAAAAGAAAAAAGATAAATTGAGTAATCATTTTTTTAGCAATAAAATAATATTTTTTGTGTGTACGCATGTCCAAAATCGGAACATAAAAAAACATCCGTCTCATATTCCAATTTTGGACACGCGTGTCTGATAACATATTTTATTATTCAGGAATTACTTCACCTTGAGAATGTACCCTCTGATTTTGTGAGCACTTAGTATGTTCTTCCAGATTGGCCTGTTCACTGCCTCCGGAGCGAATTCTTCGCCAACCATTATGCATATCAGGTACTTGCTGAAACCGCTTGATCATCTCATGAACGCTTCGGCGACCATTCCACTCCGTCATATTTTCGTCGCTAATCTTCTGAATCTTATTTTCATCCATGGACATGTTCATGCCATGCATGTCATACGACACGCAATTCTTAAAACATATTTAGATAAACATTTATTTTTTTTAATTTTATATTATTTTAATATAATTAATAAATTGGTTAAATATCCACATATAATAAAATTATGCTCTACAAAAAAGAGATTTTTATTGTCGAAAAACTTGTGTTACATCAACAAATTAATGATCCATCGAGACAATCAAATATCTATAATTAAATACAGATTTTGCAAAGTATCTGATTATAACTCTTATCAACAATATGCCATGAAAAATATTTAAAAATTATAATAG